CCATTTGCTAAGGTAGCTATCTTCCCTCCAGTGTGTGTTTTTGATCCCTTTGTCAAAGATCAGGCAGCTAAATGTGCCTGGGTGGTTTCTTCATCCCCTATTCTGTCCTGTTGAGCTGTGTGAGCTGTGTGTCTGTTTTTGTGCCAGTACCATGCTGTTTTAATCATTGTCAGTTTGTGACATAACTTGAAATCTGGGATTAAGATGCTTCCTGCTTTGCTCTTGTTGCCCAGGAATGCTTTTAAATACTTTTACTACCTGTTTTGCTTTGGTTTGGTTGCAGGGTCTTGCTATTTTGCTCAGGCTGACCTTGAATTCTCATGTAGTCCTTGAACTCACAATAACCCACTTGCTTCAGTCTCCCAAATACTGGGATTACAGGTATGCACCACTATGCCCAGTGTTTCGCTTAAAAAAAATTTTTTTTTTTAAATTTTGGAACATAGTTTGGCTAAATTCCCTAGCTGGGCATGAATTTGGGGTCCTCCCACTTTAGCCTCCCAGAGTGCTGGGATTCTAGGCATGTGTCACCACCGCTGGCAGTATCTTGCTTTTTTTTCTTTTCTTTTTTTTTTTTAAAGTGTTACTCTACTGCCGCTTGTTGCTTCCCTGGCCATCTGGCCGTAACTCTGTCCACACAGCATGGGCATCTGTGCTGTAGGTCAGCATCCAGGCCATTGTGACCATTGCTTTCTCTGTTTGACAATTCCACTGTCCCTGGGAGGGGTGCCCTGGACCTGGGTCAGGTGTTCACACCTTGCAAGGGGTTCTGGGGGAGGGAATGGAAGCTCAGTCAACGCCTCCTTAATGCTCCTGTAAAATCAGTGTAGTTGCCTGTGTACCTTAATGCATTTTATTTTATATTTTCTGGTACTAGGGATCAAACTGCCAACCTTGTACTTACCAGGCAGGCACTTACACCGCTGAGCTAAATTCTGGAGTATAAAAGTACTTTTTTTGGAAAAAAAAAATAAGGTGAAAGTGAATAAAGGGCTGACACTGCTGCTGAGGAATGCATTTTTTTCTCCAATCAGATTTTATTAGTATATTTTAGATGTACGCGGTGATCACATTCATCAGAGAGAAGTTGTACCTGTACATGATGTAACTTGTTTCTCCCCCCTTCCTTCCACCCTCCCACCAGAAATGTGTTTTAAAAACCCATGCAGCTCACACACCTGCAATACCAGCACTCAAGAAGCCGAGGCAGGAGGATGGAGAGGTAGAGCCCAGCCTGGGCTGTCAGGGTTGCTGCTGCCGTTTCTGTCTCCTTCCTGCAGCTTGGAGAGGAACTGTGACCAGTACCTGGCCGTGTAGCAGGCTCGGGTAGTACATGCAGTACCCTTCATTGTTTTATTTTATTTTTATTTACTTATTGTTAGCTTTTTGAGACAGGGTCTCACTATGCAGTACAGGCTGGCTTTGAGCTCGCTTTGTAGCCCAGGTTGGTTTCGAACTCACAACGATCCTCCTGCCACAGCCTCCCAAGTGCTGGGATTACAGGAGTGTGCCACCATGCCTGGCTGGTTTTTTATTTTTTTGAGACTGGGTCGCCATTGTATTCTAGTCTGTCCTGGAACTCACTGTTTAGCCCAGCCTGTTCTTAAGATCACAGCTATCTCCCTGCCTCGCCTCCCAAGTGCTGGGATTCCAGGTATATGACACCTTGCCTAGCTGGGGTCATGTTTTAAAAGGCACATGTGCCTCCTGGGGTCATGGTGGCCAGCTTAATGGCTGGAGGGATGCAGGGAGACAGGAAACTGGTGTGACTCAGGCAGGGCAAGAGAGGATGGTGGCTCACTTTGGACAAGGTGAACCTGCTAGGATTGGGCTTGTGCCACTGGGAGCAGTGCTGGCCATGTGTAGGGTGGAGAAGCTCACTAGGCGGAAGTGGGTTGAGAATTTAGAGGTCAGTTGTTGCCCTCAGCTTGGGAGAAGGACCCTGTCCTCAGCTGTGTCCTCAGGCTCTTGTCTTCTTGATTTTTTGACCACTCACCTGGAGACCTGTGCCCAGGGACAGAACCTACAGGCCACTCAGCCTTGGGAGATTGGGATGCCTCCCACTGCCTCCTGGGCACTGTGAACACCCTGCCTGGCCCTGGGAGGCCCCTAGCTCTGGAACACCGGGAGATGTTTTACTGCCACCTTGTGGGCAAGAAGAATCTGATGCATTCTCCGAGGCCACAAACTCCTGAAAAACCCCATGGCCTTTCTCTGTGGAGTTGGCCTCCAGCTTTGGCCTCCAAGGAAGGCTGGCCCTTCCTCAATCCATCTGCCAGTTTCCTGTGCACTGCGTGGCCACACCAGGCACAGCCCAGGACTTATCAATGGATCTGCCAGCAAACACTGGGCGGGTACCTGGTACCAGGCCCTGTGGGCTTCTCGGGGCAGAGCTGTCCTTCCTTCTCCATGACAGACAGGACAGTCTTTCATAGCCCTGTCCCCCACCCCACCCAGGAGGCCTTCTCTCTCTGCATAAAGAGACATGCCTGTGTATGGCTCAGTCAGTTGTCGGGCACATCTGGAGTCAGTCGTCTCACAGACTCCAGGCACTCAGGGAAAGGGGTTCCTGGTGCCCAACTTCTGCACTGTCTGCCTGATAGAGGCAGGGGTCACCCGTGAGCGGGTTCATCTTGAATTCCCTGGAAACAGAACCGTCCACAGAGCCTTCCGGGCCCTAGGAAGAAGTACACTTGGTGGTTCTGACAGCCCGAATTAGCCTAATTGTTTAGGATTTTAGTTCCCGTCTGCTGTGGGATTCCCAGCCTGGAGCTCTCTCTGTGGGCCTGCCTTCTGTGCCCCAGGCCAAGGGGGTTAAGGCTGTGTGGAATTCTGCAGCAGGATCTCATCAGATACAGTAGAACAGAAACCTTGTCTCTGGCTTGGGGCCCACCCCACACAAGACCGGTGTGTGCTTGCCTCTGCCTCTGCCTCTTGGGATCCTTGACTGACCCAGTGTCCCAAGATGGTTAGCAAGCAGATGCCCCTTTGTAGTGCCTCCGAATCAGGAAAATTTTCTGGGTTAAAAGGGACTGGAGGATAAGGTGGCTAAGTGAGGAAGAGGAAGATCTTCAGCTTGGCGACTGACTGACCTGCTCTGAGCTTTTGGCCTGGACAGATTCTCCAGGCGTAGGGGGACCTGGAGCCCAGGTGTCCCTGGAGATTGAATGGCATTGTCATTTGGTGACTGAGCACTGCTGTCTACTCCTGGGTCATGTGTGTGCGTTTGTATGTGTGCATATGTGCGTGTGTGTGCGCAGGTTGTTGTGAATAGCACTGTGGAACTGGAGTGCCCCCCCCCCCAATACTAGAGGTGGAACCCAAGGCCTTTGTACTGAGGTAAGCATCCCGATCCTTTTTCCATTTTGAGAGACAAGGTCTTGCTAAGTTGCCCAGGCTGGGTTTAACACTTGGCGATTCTCTTGCCTAAGCCTCAGCTTCTGCCTCCCAGGGTGCTGGGATTACAGGCAAGCTCTACCATGCCCAGATGGGTAGCTTTATTCTTTAGAGAAATGACCAGAGCAAGGGCATACAGAAAAATGCAGATAGCAAAGTCAAAGCAGTTTTTCTTCTGCAGCTCAGGAAGGTTGGCTGGCTTATACTTGGAAAATGTGAATTGTATTCAGGGTTGGGTTCTTGTCTCTGTTCCTGCCTGAGAACCCTGGGAAAGAATTCTCCCGAGGTGAGAATGTGCATCTCGGACAGGGGCAAGTCATTGATGTTGACACTGGTAATAAGTAGTTCCATGAAAATGCAAAATGCCCTGGAGATCCAGCCCAGGACTTGGGAGTTTCCAGCCCTCAGAAGTCTGTAAGAACCTAGGCTGGGACTTCCCTGCTTTCCCAGGCATCCCCCCCAGCCCCAGCCCCCTCAGGAATGCAGGTTTATCTCCTGCTGCCTCTGAGGGCACCTGGAATGCTAATGCCGCAAAGGACTTTGGGAGTGGATTTGGACTGGGGTGGAGGAAACCCTGGGAGCAAGATCTCTTCCCAGGACCCAAGCCCCTCATCCCATGCTGCTACCTAAACTTCTTTCTCCTGATCAATTTCTGTGGAAGACTGCATGCATTCCTGCACTCCATAGATCCCAAAAGCCAGCTCTCTGGGGACCCAGGAGAGAAGGGATGTTGACAGTTCCAGGCCCAGTGCAGCATATAGCTCCCGACCTGTACTGGAGGAGCCTAGGTGTTCTGGTGTCTGATGTAATCCACACCCGTGAACCTACAAGGCACTAGAGTGTGGAGTGTTTCCTTGGACAGTGTCAGGCCCTGCTCAGTACTACCAGCCACCTACGCTACTGCCATCAGCTCAAGCAATGAGTCTTCACCAAAGACCTCAACAGTGTTAGCTGCTCAGGGTTGTGGTCCAGGCCTAGAGGCTATCTGTGGTTTTTTCTACTGGTCTTAGAATGATACTTAACCCAAACAGAACAGGTGAGTATCTTCTGGATCTTCCGCTCTCCAAAGAAAGAGATACCCTTGGTCATTAGCGGCCACTGTAGCGTCCAGTAACTCATCCTTGGAATGTCTGGGCCAAATCCTGAGATAGGATCACCTTGACCAAACTCCCATTTTGCAGATGCCCAGAGATGGCCTAAGACTTGCCTCTTGAGTCCTAATAAATATAGCCTTGCCGTACGTGGTCCTTCTGATCGTTCTTCCTTCAGAGAATGAAATGGTCCACTTTTTCCCAAAACGGTGCCAACTGTGTGGTGTGCTCCCGGACTGTTATTTATCTGGCCTGCTCTTAATGACAGCATCTCACCTACCTGCCCAGTCCTAGGAGGAGCCCTGGGCTGGAATTTCCTGTTTTTTGAGGGCTCCTGGGGCTGCCCTAGCAGGCCGGCCCCCTGCGCCGCTGCCGCAGCCGCCGTTCCCTGGTGTTCCAGGCCAGACTTGCCACCTCTCTCTCTCTGGGCTGGGCTGGCTCCTGGCCCCTCCAGGTCTGGGCTTGCCGGCTGCTGTGGAGTGGAGGAGTCTAGGGACTCAGTTGGGCCCACACCAAGCGCCCAGGGGCCAGAGGTCTGTGCGCCCCGGCCATGGCCCTGGCCCGGGCCTGGGCCCAGCCTCTCAACATGGGCCTAGCCCTCTTCGTCCGTGGTCCCTGAACATGGAGCGGGGCTGGCCGCCGTCGGGGGACAGCTGCAGAGGGGAGCGGCCCGCAGCCTGCCTCCGCGTCCGGAGCGCCAGCGACTCCCTGGAGCTGTATGGTGCTCCAGCTGGCCACCCCGCCGCCACCCTGCAGGCTGCCCTGTGCACCTCGTGTGAGCAGCCAGCACGGCCACGGAGCATCTGCTCCGCCAGCCCGGGGCCCGCGTCCCCGGGCGTCCGCAGCCTGCTGTTCGGCTTCCTGCGCCCCCGCCTCGGGCAGCGGAGCCCCACGCCTTCGGGGCTTAGCCCCGCGCCCAGCCCGGTACTCCCTAGGCGCAGCCGTGCCTCCGGGGAGCCGGCGCAGCGCCCGCGGCCCACCAGCATGACGTTCTTGGAGGTGAACCGCCTGGAGCTGGCAGCCGCCGAGACCTCGCCTGCAGCGGGGGTGGGCGCGGGGCTGGGGCGCGCGGGCAGCGCGGGCTTCCTGCGCGGTGCGTCGCTCTGGAGCAGCCAGCGGTGGCAAGTGTTCCGCGGGACGCGCAGTGCCGAGGGCCCCCGGCGCGGCCTTTCTGCTCTCAAGAAGAGCTTCAGTTTCCGCCTGCGCCGCGGACAGGAGATCCGGCGCTCCGAGTCGGGGCTGCTGGCCCGGCCGCCTCGCACGCGCACTCGCAGCGACGGCGACACCAGCTCCTTGGGCGCCTTCCCTAGCCGACGCGACCTGCTGGGCACAGAGGCCCCGCGCGCCACGCCCGAGCCCTGCCGCCCCCGCGCTGCCGCCAGCCTCTGGAGGCTGCTCACCAGCCGCTTCCGCCGGAGGGAGCCCTCGTCTCAGTGGGGCCGCCGCGACCCGGGGCTGCGGGGCGCGCGCAGCGGTAAGGGGCCACAGCACCTCTTGAGTGGGCTCTGGGCTGAACGGAGGCGGGAAACGAGGCTTGGTGGGGAGTCCAGGGTACCAACCTGGTAGAGGCAGTACGTGGCCTTTGCTTGGGGTCCTGGACAGTGTCAAGAGGAGGTGGCAGTGGCAGAGGAGGACTCTGGGACCCAATAGATGATGACACACCCGCTTGAGACAGGACACCAGGAAGGGCCTGGGTTCATCCCCTCATTGTGTGATGCAGAACTGCAGTCCGAGAAAGGAAGCCCCTCCTACCCCTCCCCCCCCACCCCCCATAGCTCTGTACTGGGCCAGGCAGCGTCTTAGCCTTGACTGGAGTGGACCTCTGTAGCTGGGATCTCGGACTGTTGCGGGCAGGGTGATGATTACAGTGTGACAGTGGCTGTGTGGGGATAGTGGCAGGGTCAGTGCAAGACAAAGGGCAGCCCGGGCTTGGCCTCCCAGTGCTGGCTGTCTGCTGGAGGGGGACACTAGAGGGAAAAGGGAACAGGGCTGGCTGTCACCTGGCACTGGAGAGCTGGAAGCTTCCCTAGGTAGAGAGAGCCCTGTGATTCTGGGAGGAAAGCAAAGGGAGAGGGGCTGGAGAGGAGGCCCAGCTGGGCGGAGCAGGGTAGATAGGCCTGGCTGCACCCACCCCTACAGAACAGGGCCAGGTGAGGCTCCGCCTCTTTTGCGCTGGCTCAGGAATGTGGTGGGTGGCTCCACCCTGCCAGGTGAGCTGTTCCTACTTGCCAGAGGCTGATCAGCCCACCCCTGCCAGGGGCCTGTCCACTTTGAGTCTATCTGAGACCTGCTCATGTGGCCTCCAGCCTGGGTGGGAGGCACCTGTACCCCTGTCCAGGTGAGCACTGCTTACCTGTTTGCTGCAATGTAAGGAGAGACAGGAGGGATGTGGCAAAGGCCAAGGAGTACTGGACCTCGACCCTCACTTCTGTTCTGTAGACTGCCCTCACTGTCCCACTTGGAAAAACTCATCTTGCTGTTTCCTAGGGAGCTAGGGCCAAAGTGTGGCATTCTGCGGAATATGCTGCTACCCTCTGGCCTCGGCTGGTAGAGAGGTTTATAGGTGACACTGTGGTGAGAACAGGTACATGTGCCACTGTGGCCCTGATAGTGTGGTTCTGTCTTTACAGACTCATTTGTGAACAGCCAAGAGTGGACCCTAAGCCGCTCAGTGCCAGAGCTTAAAGTGGTGAGTGGGCTGGGGGAGATCTGGAGGTCCCTGGGCTGGATGGGCGGAGCTCAGCATGGGGCTGGGTGTGGATTGCTTCTCTTGGTGTACCTCTGCTTCCCCTTTGGGCGTGGCTTACCCTTAGCCTCTGGCTTCTTCTGGCCCCCTTTCCCCATCTGCTCCTTGCACACTTTGGGATTTGAGACAGGATCTCACTGTGTATTCCAGGCTGGCCTTAAATTTGGTAGCAGTCTTCCTACTTAGCTTCCTAAATGCTGGGGTTACATGCATGTGCCACCACACTGAGACCCCCACATGCTCTTGTCTCTCTCTGCAGCTTGATCTTTCTTCCCGTGTGTACCCCTGACCTTTGTTCTGCCCCTTTCTGTCCTCCTGCAGGGCATAGTGGGGAACTTGTCCAGTGGGAAGTCAGCTCTGGTACACCGCTATCTCACAGGAACTTACGTCCAAGAGGAGTCCCCGGAAGGTGAGTGCCCCTTGGGCCCCTTTGTGCTGCACTATCTAAGTTGGCACCTGCATCTCGTTTTCCTCCCTAGTCCCCTTAGCTCTTCCATGTAGATTTTGCCCTGCCAGGCCCCAGGGGCCCTGTCCAGGTTTGTCCTGACCCTGTACCCTGTCCTAGGTGGTCGGTTTAAGAAGGAGATTGTGGTGGACGGCCAGAGTTACCTGCTGCTGATCCGAGATGAAGGAGGCCCCCCGGAGCTCCAGGTAATGCCTCTGCCCTGGCTAAGGCTGCCCATGTGCCCCTCCCTGGAGGTTTCCCATTGGGACTGGGCCGAGTTGCCTGACTGGGGAACAAGGCTCGCCAGGATCTGTCATCCACCCACCCACCTGGCACCAGGGTGGCTAGGCCCAGGTGAGGGTGCTGACTCGGCCTGATCTCTTTAGTTCGCAGCCTGGGTAGATGCCGTGGTGTTTGTGTTCAGCCTGGAGGATGAAATCAGCTTCCAGACAGTGTACAACTACTTCCTGCGGCTCTGCAGCTTCCGCAATGCCAGCGAGGTGCCCATGGTGCTGGTGGGCACACAGGGTGAGCTGGCAGGGCAGTGGGGGCTGACAGGGATGACACCTCCATTGCTGCTAATATCCTAGCAGTGATGGGCTCTCAGCCTGTGTGGCCTGTAACCTCGGATGGCGTCCAGTGTCTTTTCTGTGGTTTAGTCTGGCAGCCATGTGCCACAGATTCCTGTCCAGTTTTTTTCTTGCTGTCATGTGTTTTGTCTTTTGAGACAGGGTCTTGCTATGTAGTTCAGGCTGGTCTTGAGCTCACTATATAACCTAAGCTGCCCTAGAACTCACATTGATCCTCCTGCCTCAGCCTCCTAAGTGCTGGGATTACAAGTGTTCACTACCACACCCAGCTTTGTGTGTGAAGTTTTTGAGATTAAATAATTCAGAAATGAAGTCACTGGCTCCAAGTGACTCCTCAGTTATCGGTGTTCCATGCACCCACTGACTGGGCCCTCTGCCCACCGACCTTGCAACACACATCTGCCCCCAGCCCTTTTCAGTCAGTTGAGTGACCTTTCACCTCTCCAACAGACGCTATCAGTGCTGCCAACCCTCGGGTCATCGATGACAGCAGGGCCCGCAAGCTCTCCACAGACCTGAAACGCTGCACCTACTACGAGACATGTGCAACCTATGGGCTCAATGTGGAGCGAGTCTTCCAGGATGGTAATGTGGGCCTGGTGCAGGGTGCAGGAAGGCTCCCTGGCCAGCAGCTGTGTGTTTTTTTGGGGGTGGTGCCACGCTGGGCTTTCTCTCTTTCTCTCCAGCGGGTATCATTGACTCTGTTGTCCTCTGCAGTGGCCCAGAAAGTGGTGGCCTTGCGGAAGAAACAGCAGCTGGCCATCGGGCCCTGCAAGTCTCTGCCCAACTCACCTAGCCACTCAGCGGTGTCCACCGCCTCCATCCCGACCGTGAACATCAACCAGGTTTGGTCGCTGCCCCCACCTCCTGATCCTGTGTGTTGTCCATGTGTTGCGCGCCTTCAGCCTTGCATGCAGCTCTGGCTCGCGTTCCATTTAGCATGCACCATTGGCCTTGGCCTCAGCTGTGCTCCATGGGGACTTTCCCCCTGCACTCCCATTTCTATCCCTGCTCTCTCAGCTGCTTCGGCTAAGAAAGCTCAAACAGGTGCTTGTGTGCAGACTGTGACAGTTGTCTCATGGGCTGCTTCCTCTCGCAGCTGTACTCAGTTCCTTTAGGCCTGCCCAACACTGGCCCTCAGCCAGCCTGGCCCAGTCTCTCTGCTTTTCTCTCCTGGTGAGCTCCTCCTCTTCACTCACCAGCCACCATGGTGTCACCCTCCCCAAAGGGAGGAAGCAGCTGACAGCCTCATGCCCACTAAGTACCAGTTTGCCCCTCGGCCCTGGGAGAGCATTGGCTTTTTAGAAGGACAGCACTTGCATTGAGGAGATGAATGGCTGAGGGGTCATGTGGGGTTGTGGGGTCTAGCCAGGTCTTGCCACTGCCCCCTTTATAGTGTCACATGGATACTTATCTACACCGGAGCCTGTTTCCAGGCCAGTTTTTGGCCCTTGACACCTGGGCCAGGACATAGTTCTATAGCTTTGTGCACTTTGCTGTGCTCTCTGCAGACCCTGGGCCTCCCACAAATGGCCCCGTGGAGCGATCAGATCAATAGCCGCTATGCTGCCCACTGACAGTCTGGCTGTGGTTCAGTCACCTCTCCCTGTAGGGCTTATGAGAGGTGCAGGGCTCCCATGAGAAGAAGAGACAGATGAGGAAGAGGAGGACAGCCAGGTTTTTCTTAGCTAGCTGAGCAGCTGCACCATCCGTCCCCCAAAAGGGCCAGGAGTTCTTGCAGAGCAGCTCTGTGGGAATCCCTCAGCAGCACTGTGTATTGGCTGAGGGCATATGCTGTGCTCCTTGCGATCAGACAGGTAGGGTCTCTCTGCTGTCTCCCGGGGCCTGGAGTCCACATTCCCTGCATTCCGTCTCCACACTGTGAGCCTCGAGTCTGTCTCTCCTTTCCCTCCTCCGTACAGCTGGTGCAGCAGCCTCAGCTCAGCCCCACTGTCTGCCTCAGCCTTCAGAACCCCGTTCCCTGTCACACACCTGCAGACCTCATATGCCCCCACACCCATGTCCGCTCCCATCCCCTATCCCCCACCCAGCAGTGTCCTGTCCCTGACGTGTGTCACTTGCTTCGGGAGTCCATCCAGGTGACCCTCTCCCTCCTCCCAGTCCACCCTGCTAGGCAGTGCCCACAGCTTCCTTATTTTCAGACCTTGTCCTGATTCTAGCCTGGTGGCCTGTGCCTCTGGCCTAGCTCCCTGCTTGCCACAGGAAGGACAAAGCCTTTCTGGCCTCAAGGGCAGCCCTGGTAATGCAACCATGACAGGGTCCTCCCAGTCTCCAGGCTAGGCCAGCTCCTCCTTCACCCGGGCCAGTTCCCTGGCATCTGCCCCAGAGCCACCCTCAGCAGCCCTCTCTGTCCATAGGCCACGAATGGCGGCAGCAGCGCCTTCAGCGACTACTCCTCCTCAGTCCCCTCTACCCCCAGCATCAGCCAGCGGGAACTGCGCATTGAGACCATCGCCGCCTCTTCCACCCCCACGCCCATCCGCAAGCAGTCCAAGCGGCGCTCCAACATCTTCACGGTACGTGCCCCGCCCTCCGCCCCACAGCAGGCCGGGTGAGCTCCGAGCACCCAGGAGGGCAGGGGCGACCCTAGGTCAGGATGGTGCCACTGCAGCCTTCTCTCAAGCACAGACACACATGGCTTCCAAGGCTCCTGGCCAAGCTCCGGAGTCTTGCAGAGCCATCCTGTGAGCCTGAGAGGGGCTGCTTCCCTCAGCTGCCTGCACCAGGACCCCAGCCCTCCACCTGCTGTGCACATGCTGGCCCTGGCCCCCCACAGCCTCCTCCCACCCAGCCCCCAGGGACTCTGTGTCAACTTGCACGGATCTTGGGACTCGTGGCCTAACTGCCCTGACCCCCTTTGATTCAACAGCTAATGAACCGGAGGCCAGAAGGCTGTTTGCCCAAGGCGACACAGAGGGTTAGCTGGCCGAGCTAGAGTCAGAGCCAGGCCTCCCAATCCACCTTCCGGCTCTTTTTCCGTTACCCCACTGCCGAGGGGAACTCTCATGCTTCCCACCCACCGCTGTGATTGGTTTAACAAAGGCTTAGCCATCTTTTCCTGGGCTTCACCACGCTGCCTCGTACCTCCCGCTCAGGTTTGTCCTGTCTCCTTGTGAGCTCTTGCCCCTCTGCTCTTAGGCCCCGTGCCTGCCATCTCTCCACTCCCCAGTTCTTACACAGTGTATCCCATGCTCTGGCTCTCCTGCCGGGTCCTGGCTGACCTGTTCTGGGAGCCTTGGCCAGGCAGGCAGGGAGTGGCCCCCAGCCCTCCAAGTCATTCCATGCACCTCCATGAGAGCCAGGGCGTGGCTCTTGGCCTGAGCCCCAACAGAGCCAGTACCCGGCCTCACTTCTCCATCTTTGCCTCTGTCCTGCCCTGCATCTCTCTCCCTGCCTCTGTCCACCTGTGCTCACCTCCCACTCACCCCCCCCCCACGCCCATCGCCGTCTGTGCTCCCTGAGCTGACTCCCGCCGCTGTGCATAGCCGGCCCCATAGCTTCTCGTCTCTGCTCCGTTCTCTCCATGGAGGTGGCGGCCACGTGCTTGTGCCTACACCTGCCTGTATCACAGTGGCTGCTGCCGGTGGCCTGGGCACTCTGCTCCCCAACATCGTGCCTCAGTCATCTGCTGCTTTGGTTCCATTCTTAACCTCCCCCTGGCTGGTTCAGCCCCACACTGGGCACCCGCTGCCTCCCCACTCTGCTACCAAGCCCGGCTGGCCCCATGGCCTGTGCGCGCCTTGGCCCTCGCCCCCCTCCATGTCTCTGCTGCCTGCCTGCCTGGACTGCGCTGCCTCCTGCCCCTTGCTGCTGCAAGCTCACAGCACGGCCTTCCCTCCAGGCCTTCCATCTTCTCCATCTTCACAGTGGCGACCTTATTTTTTCTTTCCATCGTCTCCATGGTGACTTCACTTGTGCCATCCTCCCCACAGCGGCCTGGAGGCACATCCGTCTCTGTGGGTGTATTTTGGGGCCTCCCCCATCACTGCTGTTGGAACCACCTCTCTTCTCCGTCATTGTCCTTCCAGTGGAGTCACACGTGCTCGAGGGGGTGCCCCCCATGTCTTGCCTGTCTGTGGCTGGTGGCCCCCCACGATCCCATGCACTCATTGTGGCTACTGTTGCTCCTTCCTGTCTCCCTGGGGGAGGTGCCATCTGGGCTCACAGGGTTTCTTGGGTGGTTAGTGGCCTCCAGGTTGCACCCCATTCCTGCAAGCAGCGGTTCCGCCTGGGGCTCCACGGGCAGTGGCCCACCCACCATTCTCCTCCCTGACTGAAGGGGCAGAGAGCTGGGGCAGGTGCTGGCTGGCCAGCTGTACTTCAGTGGCTGTTCGCCAAGTTCTCCCTCTGGTGGTTCCTTCTCACACTGCACTTGCAGTCCTCTGTCCCCTGCCTGTGCCCCTGGCTCCTGGAAGCCTGGGAGAACAGGAGGGCTGGGCCCCAGGCCGCTGAGTGACGAGCACTCCCCTTCAGATGGGCTGCGGGCCCATGTGCCCAGCAGGTGCAGCCGCTGCCGCCTCCTCCTCGTCCTCCTCCTCCTCCTCTTCCTCCTCCTCCTGCTCCTCTTCATCCCACCGCTGCCTCTCCCCAGGTGCCTGGGTCTCTGCCCTCACCGTGCTGACCGACTTGTGCGGGGCTTGAGTATAACTTGCCAAAATCTTTATTCTTTCGATATTTGCAGATATGTGCCACTGTTTCCAACTTTTCATCAACAAAAAGGCCTTTCCAACTCCTTCCAAATTAGAAGACCAGGTGGTGACACACAGCACCTCTGGACATTCCCCCTGTGTGGGGCCAAGGCGGGCCGGGCCCTGGGACTGCTCTCAGATGAGAAGCGGCCGCCGAGCTCCCCGCTCCAGAGACCCACAAGAACCTTTGTAACTAACCCCACCCCCAGGGAAGGCTAGGATCGTGGAGCCCGCCTGCCCGAGCTGGGGGCTGCCGGGGACCGGGGACCAGGCCCGGCCGGACGCTGCACCAGGCTCCAGGCTCGCTGCATGGAGAAGAAGGGAGCTCAGCCCCACGCCGGCCTGGCCGGCCAGCGCAACAAGGCCCAGAGGGGCGGCCGCCCCCACCCACCCACCCGCCCGCCGCCTGCTGCGGGCCCAGCTGCTCTGGGGGGCGCTTTCCTGCCCCTCCCCTCCTCTGCTCCTTCCTGCATGGACTTCTGCCGTTCCTGCTCCTGCTCCAGAAGCCGCTGCCGCCGCCGCCGTGCTTGCCTTTGCCCCTTCTTTTTGGCCTCCCCGTTTCCTAGGATCCGCATTCGGGTGGACTCTGCCCCAGGAGCTTGGCAGGGCGCAGGGCCTCTTCCGGCCTTTCTCCTCTCTCTCTCCATCCACTGTGCCCCTTGAGGGGGCCTAGGCGCCCGCAGCCACATGCCGTGTGGTGTCTGTGCCACAGATGGGCCACCGGCCCACTCACTTCCGGACTTTGCTCTCCCGGTTGCCGCCCCATGATCCTGACCAGCCCTCAGCCCCATGGACACCTCTCCTGTCCCCTCCCATCTCTTGCACCCCAGTCCCCTGGGCTGCGTGGTCTGCACTCCCGCACCCCTTTCTTCCTCTTCCTTCTCCTCCTGTTCCTTTTCCTCCTCCTCCTCCTCCTCCTCCTCCTCCTCCTCCTCCTCGGTATTTCGTGTCCTTACTCTCTTGTGAGGGGGCGGGCCGGCTCAGTGACCTGTGCTGCTCTGTATGGTACTGTGTGTAAGAATAAACCCGTTGGAATACTCGTGGTCTCCGTTCCTTCCCATCCCGCCGCCCCGGCCCAACCTGACCCACTGCTAGGGCTTCCCAGGAAGGGAGGAAGGCGGGAGGGCTGGGACCTGCAAGTGGGCAGCGTCCCACCGTGGCCTGCACCTTTAACATGCCACTTATGTTCTCTTCCAGTCTCGCAAGGGGGCCGACCTGGACCGGGACAAGAAGGCTGCTGAGTGCAAGGTGGACAGCATCGGGAGTGGCCGGGCCATCCCCATTAAGCAGGTTAGCACCACTATGGGCTCAGAGGGACACGAGATTAGGGATAATTCTTTGGTTTTGTTTTTTTGACCCAGGGGCTCACTATGTTGTTCAAACCAGCTTTGAACTTGCAGTGTAGCCCAGGGAACAACTCCCTTCCCTGCCCAAATCCTTACCAAAGGACAGGTGCTGCTGCCACAGTGCTGCCTGTCCTTCCACATGACCACTGGAGGGCAGCAGAGAGCCACCTGCTGTCCTTGGTTGTAGTTCCGAGACCTGCCTGCTTTGGAGTTCTGCCTGGACACAGGGCTGGGAAAAGCCGCAGCCAGAGTACCTGGGAGCCTGCTTCGGTGGCAGTACTGAGGTCTGGTCTCACCTGAGGTCATTGTTGTAGTTTTATCAATGGGTGTCTCTGTTAGTTTTTTTTGTCTGTCTTGAGAAGAAGTCTCACTGTGGAGCCCACGCTACATGATGTTTGTTGATCCTCCTGCCTCAGACTCCCATGTGCTGCTGGGATTACAGGCATGCACCACCACATCTGGCTCTTTGTTCCTTTTCGTAAAGGAAGTATTTAGTTGAGATGCCACGCCCCAGGGACTCACTGAACTCAGGTTCTCCTGGAGCTTACGCTGGGGGGGACCCTGTGTTGGGAAACCCTCCTGCCAGTGGAGGCATCTTTATTTGGAGGTGAGGATGGGCAGCAGAGAGCTCTGGGCTGCTGGTGTGAACAGAAGAGCATGAATGAGAGGTGCCCTAAAGGAGGGGCCTGGAACAATGGTCAGTCTGCAAGTCAATCTGTTGGAGCTGGCCTGGTAGTTGGAGAGGGCATGTCTACAGGGAACCCTGTTGCACTATCCTGCCCACAAACGATAGAGGGGTGGCCAGAGTGCCTGAGCTCCCCTGGGCCAGGACCTGTGGTTGGGTTTGGCCTTCTGGGCTGGGCCTGTGGGCCACGTGAGCTCTTAGGAGTGAGGCAGCCAGTGTGACAGGATTTGTGTCAAGGTTGCGCTGATGCTCTGCCAAGGTGTCTTTAAAATGAATTGTCCCTGGGGGCAGTTGGGAACCCAGAGAGCGCTTCGCTTTGACTCATACCCTGGCTTTTCTAGCTCATCCTCTCTTGAAGTGTTTGGCAGGACCTCTCAGGTGCCCCTCCAACACCTGCCCTGCATTTGACCCCACAGGCAGCAGGGCCTCTTGCCAGGTGATGGGCACATCCTGGGTGGAGGCTGTGGAGAGGTGAGGGAGGGATAGCATGCACTCCCTGAGCAGGTCTGTGCACACGCTGGGCACTGAACAAGTAAGCCACCTGCCTGCCTGTGCCTTTCTCTCTGGGGGTTTTGGGTCCAGCCCAGGGCTGTCGGTTGGTTTGTTCCCTCAGCCACCCATGTGATGAGAGGGGAAGGGGGAACTCTGTGAACTTGTACCCCACTCCTGCCTGGAGTCAGCCAGATCACTTGGGTCACCCTTGAGTCTTGGGACACCCCAGGAGATCTTCCCATTGACACCCCAGGAGATCTTCCCATCACTTGAGTCTTGGGACACCCCAGGAGATCTTCCCATTGTGAGTCCTGCAGTGTGTCCATGGTGTTGCCCCCTCAGGGTATACAGCTCCAGGCCTCCTCCCCTCCTAGCCCCATGGCCGCCAATCCTGGGACTTTTTCCTCACCTTCTTGCCCTGCTGGTCCCACCCTGAGGAATCTGCCTGGCCATCCCCTCTCCCGGCCCCCCCTGTCCTGGTCTCCCTGGTTCTGTCTCTTCCCCTCCCCCCAGCTCCTGCTGGGAGTGGAGATTGCATTTCAGTTGCCATTTGCATTCCCAATCAATCCGGACTCCGCAATTAAGTCGGCTGGCGGAGCTGGGAGGGAGGCGGTGGCGGGAACGGGTTCTCTGGGGGCTGTCGCCTCCGCGCGCGGCTCGCATTCCGCCCCAGATTGCTTTCTGCTCTGCCGTGTGCAGCCGTCCGGCCAGGGAGGGAGTGGAACCCCAGGGCTCCTCTGCCTCTGGAAGGTGAGGCTGGAGGGGTGCAGGCAGCCTGGCAGGTGAGAGGTGGCCAAGGGGGCGTGGGCGCTGGAGCAGCTGCTGGCCCATCTCTTCCCTCGCCCACACCCTAGGCTAACGAGTTCCATTATCACCGTCTGCTCTCTTCTCACCTGCTTGCTGAGAGGGCATCCAGGGGAAGAGAGGGGAGAGTTCTGGGTGGAAAGGGTGCCCATCCTCCCCAGCATCCCTGACCACCTCTCCAGGAGAGGAGGAAGAGGGCCTGAGGAGGTCTGCACTGGAAAGGTCCTGGAATCTGAGTCCACAGCCTGTTGTGGGAGGAAACAGGTCCACAGCTAGACTGGTGTATTGCCTGTTCTGCGCCAGCTGGTGGCAGAAAGGGGATCAGAACCAGGCATGATGGTGCAATCCTGTAATCCCAGGGCTGAGGCAGGAAGATTGCTGCAAGTTTGAGGCCAGCCTGAGCTACCTAGTAAATTCAGGGCCAGCCTGAACTACAGAGCAAGATCCTGACTCAATGGGCTGGGGATTTAGCTCAGTGGCATAAGCGCCTGCCTTGCAAGCAGGCAGTCGTGAGTTCGATCTCTGATACCGATAAAAAAAAACGAAAAAGATAAAAAAAAAAAAAAAAAAGATCCTGACTCAAACCACTACCCGTCATCAGAGAGAGAGAAAGAGAGAAGGGATTGGGGCTGGGGATTTAGCTCAGCGGCATAAGCACCTGCCTTGCAAGCAGGCAGTCGTGAGTTCAATCCCTGGTACCGATAAAAAGGAAAAAGACCAAAAAAAAAAAACAGAGAAGGGATCGGAGCCTGGTGTCCCTCTCCTGGGGTGCAAGTTAGGGCTGCAGGGAAGAACTGTGTGAACCATGGAGGAAGTGTGGTGCTACCCAGACTGGTCACCTGGAAAGGTCTGCCTGGGACTTATCCACACAGTGCTCAGTTGCACACTGGGATGGGGACACTATACCCAGAGCAGAGGCAGGTTACCAAGGCTTCAGGTGACAGTGGGCTCCTTCACAGACCTCGAGACAAGGCCTAGCTGTATCCCCCCTGACCTCGCACCGTCTTCAGAAGCCCTTTGGAAGGTGGGCTTTCCATGTCCATGGGGGATAGGAGCACTGCCATGGGAGCAGTGTGTGTGGCTGTCTCCAACAGTGGCTTTTGCCTCCTGGGGTGCAGGAGGAGGAGGAGAGAGAGGAAGGAGATGGCTGGCAAGCATGACAGGAAGCATCTGCTGCAAAGGGGAGACTGGGAAGCAAGGCTCCCCAGGTCACTGGGGTTGAGGGTGCATCCTTTCCTCAGGCACAAGCCCTAGCCGGGAGGGGGATGTCACCTGGACCTTTTGATTTTGCTTTTTGAGACCAGGTCTTCCTATATAATTCACTCTGGCCTCAAACTCAAGGCCATCCTCCTGCCTCAGCCTCCCAAGTGCTGAGATTACAGGTGCCACCACGTCTGTAAGAAACCTGTAATTGGCTTTTTACTAATTCCATTCACCAGGGGTAGAGCCTTGTTCTGAAGAGTGTAGAGGGACACAGTCCAGCTGGGCAGTGTCTATCCCCATTCTTGAGTCTCATGGTGATACGGGAGGGGCTACCCATTTTGTCCTTCACTTCTGTGCCTCCCCACTCCATGCCATTCCTTGGGGAGGACCTGTGTGGATGGTGTCACTTTCTTTGCTGTCCCATCAGTGACCCTCCTGACCCATCCCACTTGCCCCTGGTCTGTGGACCTAACTGTGTCCTTCCTGTATGGTTTCTGGTTCCAAGTCCCCCGGAAGTGCTGCCTCTTCCCACCCCTCCTGAACAGGAGCTTGGAAGAATAACTACTTGGTGACCCTCCAAGGTGCTGCCATCCCCAGCCACTGTCCTGTGGTCTCACAGAGTTGCAAAGGCATCTCTGGTGAGTACTGGAGGAACAGGTTTCTCCAGGCACTATGGAGCTGGGCCAGTTGGGTCTCCTGGGATTCATCTACCTTCGCCCATCTGCTGGCCACACAGTCTCCAGTGCCATTGGCCCAGTTATCAGTTGGCTCGTGCTCGTCCTCTTGTTGGCCAGCCTCTACATTTACAGAGCTACTTCCTGGGTGGCCAAGATGGCAGCCTGCACCTCTAGGGAATTCCTGGGACAGTTCAAGGACAGTGCCACAGAGGTGGAAGGCCAGGCACTAAAGAAACCTCTACCTCTGCTTCCCTCTCTGGAGCAAGCTGGGCGTGTCCAGTCCCTGTGCCTGTTACTCACGTGGCTTTGCCAGTGGGGAAGAGGCCATGCCCATGCCCAGAACAGTGGCCACTCTGTGGTGGGCTGGCAGGGCTGGCAAGGTTCTGTAGGGGATTTGTCTCCTTGGTGCAGCTGGAATACTTTTTTGGTACTGGGAATTGAACTCAGGACCTTGTGCTTGCCAGGCAGGCAGTTATGCCACTGAGCTATGTCCCCAGCCCTTCAGCTGAGGTCCTTAAGGGCCTGTGCCAGGAGGCAGGATGGAGGGTGGCAGTCCCTGGTGACACTGTGGCCGCCTCGTGGCGTGTGGGCTGCTTCTGGCCTCTGATGGAGTCTTTGTTTCCAGGGAATCTTGCTGAAGCGCAGCGGCAAGTCTCTGAACAAAGAGTGGAAGAAGAAGTATGTGACGCTGTGTGACAACGGGCTGCTCACCTACCACCCCAGCTTACATGTGAGTCCGAGGGCAGAGCTGGGCACAGGGACTGGGGCCGGGGACAGTGGGCACCCTGGGTGCTCTCAGATGGGGTTTCCCTGGAGCAGGCATCGTACTGTGGTGGTTCAGAAAGGACACAAGACACAGGCCCTGTGAGCCTCCGGAGGACACTGCCCACTGTGGATGCCCCTCCTTGGGCATCCATGGCAGTGGTTTAAAAGGCGAGATCCATCCTGCAGCCTGGGTACCGCTGTCTGCAGGCTGGGCCATGCTGGTAGGGGACATGGTGGCAGCTGAGCCAGGTTTGTTGAGACCTTGGGCAGGTCAGGAGAGTGGGGTAGCATTGTTAATGGGCAGAGGGCTCTTCAGGGCACCCGGCCTGTGCCCCACGGTGGGGGTGTGGCTATGCAGGGATTGTTGTGTGGCCCCCGTGGTGGCTCCCCCCATCCTTCCTTTCCTCCCTGCACCGCGTGGCTCCAGCACACAGCTGTCACCAGAATCCATCTCTGTCACCACCCCACTGTGGGGCTAATGAGTTCTCCTGTGAAGCCCCTGGAGCACAGAGCGTGGGCCAGCCCCACCCCCGCCCAGAGGCAGACCCTCTGAGGGTCCCTAGCCACCCAAGAAGCCACACACGCCATCAGGGGGCCCAGTCCAAGTAGTGGCCACATTTCCCAGCTGTGACTGGGTCCTGAGAGCATGCGGGGGTGGCCTGTATGGGCAGAGCTGGTCTTAAGGTGACCTCATCCAACCGAGCTCAGCCTGCCCCCACCAGTTTCCTCATCTGATTCCTCAGGACACGTCTTTCTGCTTAGCCTGCAGGATGTAGTTGTTCCCCCTACTGTCTAGGGTAGGACCCGCGCTAGGATGGCAGGTCAGAGGGGACCACGTCCACTTAGTATAGTAGCTTCCTCTTCACACAGGCCTGGGTCTTCTCCCTAGTCTGTCAGAGACACCGAGAAAGCCAGGCCTGGTGGCCCACACCTGTAATCCCAGCACTTGGAAGACTGAGGCAGGAGGACCACTGTAAGTTCAAGTCTAGCTTGGACTACATAGAAGGACCCTACCTCAAAAATAAAAGAGACTACAAGGTGTCCAGCAACAGAGCCGATAGCAGTCGTGAGTCTCAGAGGCAGTCAGAGGGCCCTCTGCGGGCTCGGGGCTTGCTGCCATGTGGCAGCCACACACTCAGGGGGCCCACAGTGCTGGGCCCAGAGACTGTACCTTCCCAAGGTTCCTCACAGAAGGATGTTGTCCTGTCACAGGCTGGAGGACCAAGTCGTGCTGAGGTCCAGAGGCTTTGTCATGCCCTGTACTGTCCTCTTCTCCAGCCAGCAGGAGTATTGGGACCTGGCTTCTGGGGCCATCTGTAGGGAAGGGCTGGTTGTGGCGTTGCGAGGGTTCTGTTTGGGACATGCTGTCTCGGGTGGGGGAGTGGTGGCCTTGCAAGGGTTCTTATTGGGACATGCCGTCTTGGGTGGGGAAGTGGAGGCATGGAGTTGTAGCTTGCCAGTTACCTGGCCAGCGGCTGTGCTGAAGTTGGAACCTGTGACTGATTCTCAGCATGGCCTGAGGTTTCCTGCACTTGCCAGCGGCTCCTCCCTTTGGGGTTGGCTGAGGAAGTCACTGGAGAGCTTGGAGGAGCAGATGCCCCAGCGTCCCTCCCATGGCATTTGTTGCACCGGGAGCTTTGGGGCCCTCTGACAGGACCTGATGACCTGGTGGGGGGCTTTCGGGCCTGTCCTCACCTACAGGGCAAGCTCTGCCATACAGGTGGACTGATGACCCAGCACCCTGCGTCCTGGCCCACTGGGCCTGTTTGTCTCCAGGAGAGGCTGCCATGCTGGTTCCTCCTGGCAGCAGCGCCCCGTGGTGCACAGCCGTTCTTCCCTGGACACCAGGAGACCTGGGCACTGCAGGGGCCTCCCTGTCACAGAGATGTTCATGCCTCATCCTTTTTCTTCCTTGTCCCTTCGCTGCTTGTGGGCACAAGCAGGGGCAAACCAGAGCTGCTGCAGTCAGGCTGTGCTCGGGTCGAGGCCTGCTTCCTGGAGCAGCCTCTGCCTTCCCCGTGCTGCTTCATGCCTCCCCTGCTGGCCTTTTGCTCCTCTGTCCCCCTTACCTCCTGCTCCAACTGCGGCATCTTTTCCCGGCAGCAGTGGCTGGGCGGCCTCCATACCTGGGAGCAGCAGCCTCCCTGGGGCACTCCACTCCTGCATCTTCGGGGCTTCTGGTGAGCCACAAGCTCGGGTAGGACCCAGCGAGCCCTCCCAGGGCCGGGTCTTCCGCGGATCCTGACAACGTGGGCCGGGCTCACCTAGTAGAGACTGAGTTGGTGGGCAGCCCTCAAGTTTCGCACCCGGATCTCGCCTGGCCCAAGAGAGCCCGCCACAGCCTCCCCCATTTTGCAGCCAGCGGAGCCATTCACACAATCACCTTCTGTTAATTCTATCTGCAACATCAATTAAATTGTTTGTAGAAACTAATTGAATGTGGCTTAATCACACATCTTAATAGCTTTCCACGCTCTGAACTCGTTGTTAATTCCAGTAATAAAACGAGATGAGAACGCTGGCTGGGTAATTAGCGAGGAGGCTGGGGAAGAAATTGCTGTTTGATGGTGGGTAATAAAGGCAGCCGCGGTGACCGCTCTCCTGAGCAGCCGCTGCCACTGCCGCCGCCACGCTCCCCGTTCTGCTGACGGAGGGAAACACTGTTGCTCAGTGCCTGAGGTCCCTGTCTCTGCTGCCGTTCCTCCGGCTTCACTGTCACTGAGCTGTTCTGCAGGCCTGGGCTCCAGTGCATGGTGGCAAGAGCTGAGCTTGAGCCTGGGCAACATGCAGGAGCTGGCACCACAGCCTGGTCTGGGACTGGGCAGCCCTGTCCCTGCAGTCAGCTTCAGGCTCTGTGGCCCTGCACAGTGTCTTGTGTGCATGCATTCAGCTTCTGCTGCAGCCCAGCCGAGGCATCCCAGGGTCTGATTCTGTCGCTGTGACCTCCTTGTGAACTGGAGCGGCCCAGATGCTCCCCCAGGAGCGGGACCGCAGCTGGACCTTTGGCCCTGCCAGCTGTTGACAATGGTCAGGAGCAGCCTATCCAAGCTGTAATTGCATGTAGGGGTAGGAAGGGGGAGGAGAGGGGATCAGAGATGTAGAGACTGAGAGAGGTCAGTATGTAGAGACTGAGGCTCAGTGTATGCAGGGACCACGGATAGAAACATGAAGAAGCTGAGCCTTTGGGATGGAGGTAGGGAGAGGGGTGAGAAGTCACACAGTGGACACTGGGCTGAAAGTGTTGTACAATGGGGTGGCGAGGACTGGCAGGCTGATGCTTGGTTGGCTGGAGAAAGATCAGACAAGCACTTTGGAGAACAACAAGGCACCTCTGGGGGTATTGCAGCCCAGCTGCTTAGGTAAGGCCCAGCTCCTGGGCGAGAGTCCTGGCAGTGCCCAGAAGTGGGTGGGCCAAGAGTTGGTCAAGGATCCTGCCTTGCATGGATATCCTTCTTCTTGGTTTCTCAGGACGGTGTTTGTGGGTCTGAACAAGTATACCCAGGGCCAGCCTTGTCCTTCCAGGATTAGGGTAGCAGCTGGAGGGCACAGCCACAGAGCTGCATCAGGGAGTGGGGTGCCTCCCAAGTGACACCTGTTTGCTCAGAACCAGATGTGTGGCTGTAGTTCCAGCAGTTTGGAAGGCTGAGGCAGGGCGATTGCGGTTTCATGGCCAACCCGAGCAGTTCAGTGTGACTCTGTCTCAAAGTAAAAAAACAGCTGAAGGTGCTGAGGATGTAGCTTCGAGATCCCTGGGTTCAGTTCCCAGTGCTGCTAAAAACAAAAACAAAAATCTCCCCGAGGTAGTTGGGAAGACCCAGTGGGGTGGTGTCTAACAGATCGAGCTTTGTGGCACAGTAAAACCCAGGACATGATGAGCAGGTGGTGAGCTGACCCCTGCGATGCCCAGATAGAGTCGCTGGGGCTGGGGGGCGAGGCTTGGACCTGTTGCTGCCCTCCCAAGTCCAACCAGAAGAGTCGAAGGCTGCCTTTCAAACTGCTCAGCACTTCATATAACCAGGCTCTTGAGTGCTGGAGACTCTTGCTGGTTAAATGTCCCCGGTGCCCAGGTTAGGGTGGGAGCTGATCTGTCATTGTGGGGGTCTGAGTTTGGCGGTTTCCTTCTCAGCCACATAGGCACTCTGCCCCTGAGCTCCAACTCCATCTAGTGCTTGGCTTCCTGTGTGTAGCCTATGGGCCCCGTCTCTGGTCCTTAGAGTTCCTGGACTGCTGCTGAGTCCCTAGAAGCCCCTTGGAAAATATGAAGATCTGCCCATAGTCCCCACTTATCGGTTCCTGAAGCTCTGTGGGGAGGTGCAGCGGGCGGAGGGGTTGTCCATCCTGACTAGCTCTGTCTGTCTCATCCACATGGCCTTCAGGATTACATGCAGAATATCCATGGCAAGGAGATTGATCTGCTGCGGACCACAGTGAAGGTGCCTGGGAAGCGTCTGCCCCGAGCCACACCAGCCACAGCCCCAGGCACCAGCCCGAGGGCCAATGGGGCGCCCATGGAGCGGAGCAACACGCAGCTTGGTGGGGGTCCAGGTGAGGTGGGGAGCAGCTGCAAACAGCCAGCCAGGGTGACTTCAGCCTGGGGGTAGGGGGGAGGTGCAGCTGCTCGAGGTTACCTGCTTTGGCTGTCAGGTGAGGCAGGGAGCTGTGGGTCTGGGGAGTGGGTAGGGCAGCCGTCCCAGGGCTGTCTCCACATTGGAGCCAAGGAAGGCCGGTGTCTCAGCTTGTTGTGTAGGACAGGGAGGGGACAGAGCTGTGGGGCCACCCAGGCACCATCTTGGGGTCTGCGGTAAGAGGTGTGTCCCAGCACAGAGACTGAGTTGGAGGAGGGCTGCAGGAGCTGCCAAGCGTCCAGCTGCCGGTGGTTGTGGCAAGCACACCCAAGCCTGCTGTGTTTTTTTTCTCTGTGTGGCCATGTGAGCTCAGTGAACGGTCCCCTCCTCAGGCTCCTTCCTCCTCCCTGGGCTTCTCCTAGGCCCCTGCCCTTCCTTCCCGCAGTGCATTCTGTGGCACCCGTTTCCCTAGACCTCGGTGTTCCCTGTATTGTCCCAGACCATAGAATCTCCTAGGACAATGCCTGCCCTGCTGGTCAGCTCTGAGCAGTAGAGGTTCTCAGTTCAAATGTGTCACCTTCCTTAGGAGAAGAGTCGACAAGGGCTGGGAATGCCCTGGAGTGGGCAGGACAGACCCCCAACGATGGCACTGCCTATAGGGAACACCAGTGGGATGGGCACTGCAAAAGCCTGGTGAGAGGAGGCACCACCCCCAGGTGGCCCTTGATTGAGGGGCGGCTGCTTGGTGTGATTAGCCTGCTCTTAGGTGGCCACTGGTGACTGGGCAGTGGCCAGGGCAGGGCCTGGGCTGTGCCACAGTAGTGCTCATCTCCACGTGAACCCCCAGGGCTGCATGAGCACTGTGAGGCCAAGGTTCTTGTTCCTGTTTTCATGAAGAGGGCTCAGTGACCTGTCTGTGAAATCCCGTGGGAAGTGGGGGAGCTGGGGTTCAGACCCAGGCATGTCTGCTGTGAGATGCCCTGGTCCTTCCTCTCAGCGCCGCCGAGCTTGGGACAAGGGAGGCCTTGGGACTCCAAGAGAGAGAACCCTTTGAAAGGAAGGAAGTAAGCCAGAGAAATGGTGCAGCCACCAGGGCTCCTGGTAGAGCCCTGGGGAGGTCTCCAGGGCAGGATTGGTGCATACTGGGTTTCTCACACCAATAGCAAGGAAAGGACTCTGAAAGCAGGGCTCCTTTCCTTGATTGTGGGTAGCCAGGGGAGACCCAGGCTGTGTCCCCGAAGTGGGTAGGAAGTGAGGCGGCAGCACTGTGTACCTTCCTGGGCATGACGCCCTTCACCTGGGCAGCCAACCTGGCACGGGTGAGGTTGCCCTGGCTGCCACGATCCTGGCACCCACACAGGCGCACGTGGCCGGCGCTTCCCCAGCCCGGCTCCCACTGGCTCCCACTGCCATGCGCTGACACCGACCCTCACGCACACTCACACATGTCTCTCGCTCACCGGGCGATGTTAACATCTCATTATCTTTGTTACTGTAATTACATTATCCGCTGCTTTATGCAGAATTATCCTCGGAGGACTAATTGATGGCTCCATGTTTAATTCATTAATCATTAGCATCAAATTCGACAATTACAGTGCACACTGATTGTGGGATTGCAGGCGTAATGAGGGGAGAATTAACAAAGAAAAGGGAAAGCACTTTCCCTCCCTTAGGGTTTTGGGTTGGGGGGCTTGGGAAGGAAGTTGGGCCTATGATGTCTTGGGTCGGGGCCCAGGGTGGGCTGGGATAGGGGTACCCTTTGGAACCTGAGGGGTGATGCAGGCAGAAAGGTGTGGAGAGCAGCAAGTACCCTGGAAGGTGGCAAGGGTAGGGGAGACAGGCTCAGCATGGAGGACTCTCAAGGCCAAGGAGAGGCTGGGCAGGATTTGGTGAAGCCGGAGCTGGGAGGTGACTATGACCCCGGCACCACACACGTATTCCCAAGCACTTGCTATGTGTCTCCTATTTTGGGTTAGGACAAATACAAGAGATGTAAACCTTGCCTGTGTCTCATAGTACGGTGTTTTCCCTGGTGCATTTGGGCAATGTGTCTGGCTGTCCTCACCCAGCTACGCTGGCTCAGCAGCCTGTTCGTGACTGTCCAGGACTCCTCAGACGTCCCCTTGGCTGGGCCCTGGCTGCTTTCCTGCTGACACCACCCCCAGCGAGGCTCTCAGCACCAGTTACACAACTTGAATTTGGGTTTGGCCCACCTGTTCCTAGATGCTTGTGGTCACTTCCTCCTGGCTTCCATTACTGCCTTTGGTCTTGGGGGAGTAAGGAAGGGAGGGAAGCCTGGGCTCACGGTGTCCTACTCAGCCCTTGAGGTATCAGAGGCCTGTGAGGCCTGTGGCCTTGCCATGTTGCTTGGGGGCGGGGGGGAGGCAATCTGTGGGGCAGGGAGTGGGGCTGCAGGACACTGTGTGTTGCCTGCTCCCACACTGGCCAGGCCCGCCTAGTCCTGGGACTCACAGAGCAGCCTTCCGTTCCCCTTGGCTCCGCCATCCTTCCCTGATGGGAAACGAAAGATTAATTTTCTCCAGCCCAACAGGATAATTACTAATACTAATTAGACATAATTACTTGAATTTGATACACTTATTTTTGTCAGAATGGCAGCAAAGCTGAGGCAGACCAAGTGACATATGTGGACCAGAATGTAGGGTGTCAGGCCTGAGCCAGGAAGGAATAGGAGCAGGTCCTAGCAGAGCAGGCAGAGAGGGTCCAGCAGACTGCGAATGTGCAGACGCCCAGCTCCAGATGTGTGCTGGGACCGACCTGTGGCCCTCTGTGTTCTCGGGGCAGAAGAGGCTGGGAATGCTAGGGAACCTCTGGCTCCCCAGGAAGCCTGGCCCTCACTGGGTAAACCACAGCCCTGCTTATGTTTGGGTATGACCCTCCTGGAGCAGCCCTGTTCTTAGGACAGTATTGGAGGAGGTCCTCCTGCCTCGGCCTCTCAAGAGCTAGAATTACAGGCACATATCACCACGCCCACACCCCGCTCCTCCTAGGTCTGATCTTCCCCTCACCGTCCCGCCAGGTGCCCCCCACTCGGCCAGCAGCGCATCCCTGCACTCTGAGCACACCCTCAACAGCTCGGCCTGGGCAGGTCCCTGCCCCGAGGGGCCGCACCAGCGCTCTTGCTCAGTCTCCAGCGCCGACCAGTGGAGCACGCAGCACCCTGGTGAGTGGGGGCTCTCCCACCACTGCCTGTGTCCCTCCCATGGCTACCAAGTGAGGTTCCAGCCAGCTGTCTCCCCCTTTTCACCCAGGCCTGTGCCAGGGGCCCGCCCTCTGCGGCTCCTCCTCCCGGTCCCCAGGCAGCACCGATAGCGCTCTGCATCCCCATCAGCCCCCTGCGCTGCCAGCTCATCAGCCTCTCGGCAGGGAACAGGGATGCGGCTGAGTGGGGAGGGCTTGAGCTACATGAAGGCAGGGAGCCCTCCGGGGAGAGGGGTCCCCAAAAGGCCCTTTCCAGTCCTGCTTCCCACAGAGAGGCCAGCCCTGTCCTAGCAGGGTCAGAGGCCACCTGCCTCCATCCCCTTACCTGCTTTTCTGGGCTCTGCATCTTCTTCCCCTCGGTTTCCTCCCTTAGTTTCTCTCTGTTCCCCTCACGCCCTGTTCGGTTTTTGGCCTCAGTTTCTGAAGGCCAAGAAGGGATGAAGACAGCTCTCTTCTCCTGTCCCATCCCCTAGTAGCCAGTGAAGGTGCAAAGACTGAGAGGTTACCCTTGGTGTCATCTGACCCTAGTGACAGGAAGTGGGCAGTGGCTCAGGCAGGGACAGTCTGGTCCCCTGCCTTGACCCCAGCCCCCTCCCAGGGGTTCACAGAGGCCCCTCACAAAGCTGTCAGTGTCTGTTCCCCACCCTGGGGGCAGGAAGCACAGAGCAGGGGTCCTTCCGTGGGGTCCCTGGTCTTGGGGAGCCCCTCTGTTGAGTCTGGAAGGAGGAAGGCAGAGAGGGAGGGAGCATGTCTGCCTCTAATGAAGTTTGACATTTAGTGGTGAGCGCCGGGCGGGGTGTGGGAGCCGGAGCTTGATTAGCGCGCTCTAATTGACAGTAATTAGGCAGCTCCCTGATTGTTTCTAATTCTGCTATTAATTGTGAGGAGCGGGGAGTGTGATTGAGGATAAATTTGGTGCGGAGCTGCTGGGGCTGTGGCTCCCCGTGAGCTGCCTGGGCCACCTTCCACCCCTCCAGGCTGAGAGGGACCTATTCCCTATTCTCTTTCCTCTGCTGTTTCCTCCTCCGAGACACAGGGAGCGAGGGATTAGGAGGCCTGGGCACCCCGACCCATCTAGGGCAGCCCAGCCACAGTGAGCCGGCTTGGCCCCCTCTGCCCCAGCTGTCCCACCTCCCCTCTTCCCACACCTCTCCACTCTCCCCTCCCCAGCGGGTGGCACGGCTGACGTGCTCAGTTCAAGCCCCAAACTGGAACCTCCCCCATCTCCCCACTCCAACCGGAAGAAGCACCGTTGGAAAAAGAGCACCGGAAACCCCCGACCAGACGGCCCCAGCAGTGCTACTGAAGGTTAGGGGGGCCCAGAGGGCAAGTGGGCACAGGAGGTGGGCAGTGGGACCTGGGCCCAGTACCCCCAAAATAGCAGTGCCCTTGGTACTGGTTAGGTGGATGAAATGCTTCTAGGAATCATTTCTGGTAAAACAAACTCCGTGACACAGACCTCTTTCAGTACTTTAGACCCAGTAGCTCAGACAAGTTTTTTCCGCTGGGAGCGTGTATCCATCCTTCTTAGAGTCAGGCACAGTGGGTTGCTACCATCACTTCCGCAAGACTGGCTGGCAGGACCTATGTCCTGTGTGTCTTGCGTCACCCAGAAGTTTGTGAGTGCTGGGGGCATAATAGGTACTCACATGTGTGTAGGCTGAGTCACCTGCCTGGTAGGCCAAGGCTTTCTGGACCCTCAGGACCGGGCTCCAAGTCTTACTAATTACGGCATTGACCCTATGCTGTCCAGGGCCTTCCACCCCACAGTGGTGTTTAAGGTGGTTTCTTCATTTCTCCTCTCCACATTGACAGGAGAGTCAGCAGTGGGCTCGGGCAGGTGTTGAGCAGCTTTTGACATGCTGATGCCTCAGCTCCCTGGCACAGGGCCTCTGTTCACCATGGTCCAGGGGACCAGGGTCTGTGGTGATGGAGCGGGGTGTGTGGCTCGGAGGCTGGGGGTGAAGAGAGGCGAGGTGCGAACCTGGCAGCTAGGGAGGGCAGCAGTACTGGCTCTGTGCATGTGAGGAGGCAATTCCACAAAGGGTCCTGAGCAGGAGTCAGACCCAGGAGGACTTAGAGCTGTCACTGTTGAAGAGGCGAGAAGCTGCAGGCAGAGGTGGCCTGGCAGAACACGTGGCCTACCCAGGGCCTCCCTGAAGGTCCCTGGGTATCTTTCCAGCTGCCTGTTAGCAGTGGTCCACTCCTGGGGCAGTGACCCCTGTGTACAGTTTGTATCACTGTCTTTGGGTCCCGGAGGAGCAGAGCTTGGAAAAGCTTTGTCACAGTGCTTGGGGTCGCAGCTCAATCTCCGAGCTTGTCGCTACAGATGTCTGTGGGTCCCCAATGGCTCGCAGGCCCCAGTTCCTGAAGAAAATGTCTCCTCCACGCCCCCACCCACTTGCCCTTCCTGCCTGCTCTGCCAGGGCAGTGGAGGAGGGGCCCAGCTCCCAGGAGCCCCACACTGACGCTGACGCCGTCAGGAATATTGGGTTTAATGAGCTGCAAAATGAGGCGGCTGCAGCTGACACGTACGGATGGTGCCCACACCCGCCTCCCTCTCCCACCCTGCCTTCCGGCGCCCCAGTGTATACTTCTTCCTTCTCCTGGAGGCCCCTGAGCTGGGTCTGGACCTGACAGAGCTGGGGAAGCCAAGACCTCATGTCCCCACTTTCCTGGGCTCCACAGGTGGTTAGGAATGGAGGTTTACGGGCTCATGCTAGTCACTGCCTTCCCACTTACAGGTTGTGCAGGACAGCATGGCCCTAGGAGCCAGGCAGGCACACTTGGGGAGGACGATATTGTGGCATGTGCCCTGGGCAAGGGTGCCAACCACCAGCCTGAAGGTGTCAATCCACCCCCCTGTACACACAGAGGCAGAAGAGTCCTTCGAGTTTGTGGTGGTGTCCCTCACCGGGCAGACGTGGCACTTTGAGGCCTCCACAGCTGAGGAGCGGGAGCTGTGGGTACAGAGTGTGCAGGCCCAGATCCTCGCCAGCTTGCAGGGCTGCCGCAGCGCCAAGGACAAGGTTGGCATGGGGTGGCCAGGCCTGCCCGGGGCACTGCTGGGGGCGGAGGGGCCTGTGACTGAACCATTTTCCCCACTGTGTGGCAGACCCGCCTGGGGAACCAGAACGCAGCCCTGGCCGTGCAGGCCGTCCGCACCGTACGCGGCAACAGCTTCTGTATCGACTGCGATGCCCCCAGTGAGTGCCAGGCTGGTACTCCGGGACCTGGGCCCTCAGCAGAGCGTTGCATGTTGGGAGGCAGGGAGGAGGCCTCACTGGTCACCCTCTCCCAGCTGCCCACCCACCCCATCCTTCTCCCTCTCCTTGCCTAGATCCCGATTGGGCCAGCCTGAACCTGGGTGCCCTGATGTGTATTGAGTGCTCCGGGATCCACCGCCACCTGGGGGCGCACTTGTCCCGGGTCCGCTCTCTGGACCTGGATGATTGGCCCCCAGAGCTGCTGGCTGTGATGACAGCCATGGGCAATGCCCTGGCCAACAGCGTCTGGGAGGGGGCCGTGGACGGCTATGCAAAGCCGGGGCCGGAAGCCTGCAGGTGAGCTGCTGGGGCCAGGAGAGACAGCCGGGACAGCGTTAGAAGAGTTAAAGTGTCCGTTGCCTTGCTTGGCAGTTGGCCCCTAGGGTGTCCCTCCCCCTCTGGTGCCTGTCACTCAGGCACCTCGCAACAACAGGCCTTTCCTCAGCCGTTATCAGCAGGTCAGGGGCCAGTGCCAGGCGCATGCGCAGGGCCCCTGTCACCGCGCTGCGTGAGGCCTGGACCTGTGCTGCGAGATGGGGAGAATGGGTGGCAGATAGAGCATGGGGGGGGGCCTGCCTAGGCGCCCGTCTGCTTTGTCCCCACACTGCCAGTCGGAGAGAGTTCAGATGGCCTGATAACCCAGCCCTGGAGCCGTCTGGAGTCTTCCTGCCCTCCTGGCCTTCACGTCCCCATGGTCCCCGAGGGCCTCCTTTCCTTTCCATGTCCCTTCTTTCTCTTCTCCTATGCTCTTTATATTACTCATGGCCCGTCTGAATGCCCACTTTCTCTTCTCCTATGCTCTTTATATTACTTATGGCCTGTCTGAATGCCCACTGTCTCTGGAGCGTCTCTCATCTCTGCACATTTCTCACATCCTCCTGCTGGCTCTCCTCGCCTCTCAGCACCCCCCTGGCTCCTGGGACCCCAGTGGCTGCCTGGGCTCACCCCAACCCACCTGTGCTTACAGAGAGGAGAAGGAACGCTGGATCCGCGCCAAGTATGAGCAGAAGCTCTTCCTGGCCCCACTGCCCAGCTCAGATGTGCCGCTGGGCCAGCAGCTGCTCCGGGCTGTGGTAGAGGATGACCTGCGGCTGCTGGTGATGCTGCTGGCCCACGGGTCCAAGGAGGAGGTGAATGAGACTTACGGGGATGGCGATGGGCGGACGGCCTTGCACCTGTCCAGCGCCATGGCCAACGTGGTCTTCACACAGCTGCTCATCTGGGTGAGTTGGGTGCTCCTGCCCCACCCTGGTCTCCCTCTTCCTCCTGCCCCTTTGTGCCCACGCCCTGCCGACTGTGCCCATACTCTCTCTCTCACAGTATGGCGTGGATGTGAGGAGCCGGGACGCACGGGGCCTGACACCACTGGCCTATGCCCGCCGTGCCGGCAGCCAGGAGTGTGCAGACATCTTGATCCAGCATGGCTGCCCAGGGGAGGGCTGCAGCCTGGCGCCCACGCCCAGCAGGGAGCCTGCCAACGGCCCCGGCACCTCTGCTGAGCTACATCGCAGCCCCAGCCTCCTATGAGACCCAGGAAGTGAGCAGAGGGGCCCGAGGGACTCCATGGCTTACAAGTTTCCTCCCTGCAGGTGCTGAGGGAAACAGAGGCACAAAAACAGGGCCATGCAAGGAGGGAAGAAAGTCAGAGAGAGCCGAGGAGAGGTCTGAATGCGCTCCTGCAGACAGAAGGGCAGCGGTCAGCCCTCGGCACCTTGGTGCTGTTGAGGAGGGACAGGACCCTTTGGAGGTGCCCACGAGGAGAGGGGGGCAGGACCTCTCCCTCCTCCAGACCCCCACCCCTTGTACCAGCCCTGTGAGCCTTCCTCCCTGAGGGGGAAAAGCCAGGCCAGGATGGGGTGCTGGATGGAAGAGACTGGGGCCAGCAGGGCTCCCATGTAAAATTTGTACATTGGAGTATTTATGTTTGTGTACATACTTGGTGTGCGTGTATGATAAACCAATAAAGCAGACTGTGTGTGTGGCCCATCTCCCCTCAGACCCTCTGTACCCTTCCAGGGTATCCTTCTTGGTATCTCGGTTTCCTTCTAAGAACACCCTTCATCTCTGCGTCTTCCTGTCTCCACAGATCTTTTCATCTCTCCCTGAGCCTGGGTCCCCAGGTATCCTTCCTCCCCCGCAGTCTAGTCTTGATCTCTTTTCTTTTCCTCTTCTCTTTTTTTTTGTTCTTTGTTGGTTTTGTGAGACAGGGTTTGTATAGTCCAGGCTGGCTTCAAACTTACTGTGTAGTCCAAGTTGGCCTCAGACTTGCGGAGATTGTTCTGCTTCAGCCTTCCAGGTGCTGGGATTTCAGGTGGGCAGCACCACACCCAGCTTTGCATGATTTCCTACAGCTGTTCTTGCAGGGGTGGGTTTAAGTTTCTCCGTGAACCTGACGGAGGAGATGGAGCCCCTGAGCCCTGCTGGGTCCTGCCTCCCTGGCTGGCTCCCCCACCACCACAAAGCTTTCTGCTGTCTTCAGTGTCCTCCCTGGGAGACTCCGGCCACATGCTCTGCTGGTCAATGTGCACTTGAGTCCAGGAGGGGCCCACACAGCTGGCCATCAGGGGGAGGCTTGCAGCAGAGCAATTTGGAGGGCTCCGCAGGACAGGGTGTGCTGGTGGCAGGAGTCCACTTGCCTTCATTGTGCTCCTCGGTTATTCACAGAAGACCTGGGGACCTCTCTGTCCTGGTTTCTGAAGGACGAGACCTTGGTACATTTGGGTCCTGATTGTTCTGTGAACACCGCCTTTGGCGGTTACTCTGCTGGTGGCCCATGCTTTCTGTGACCCCTTGGCTCTGTGGCAGGTGTGGTAAGTGGTGCTCTGTGTGTGGCTTGCTCACGTGTGGGTAAATAACCAAGGAACACCGTTCAGAGAGGAAAGCAATTTTATTTCTTTGTCCGCGTCCCCTTTCGCAAAGCTGTGAAGTGCAAAGGTGGGGCCAGGTGTGTGGGACTCTGCTCCTGAACTTGGAAAATGCCAGCAGTGGTTGCCTCGGAGTCCTAAGACCCACCTGCTGGGGCAGCTGAGTCCTGCAGGCCCACATTAGGTGGCTGCACAAGCGACATGGAGTCACAGAGCCTCTGTGGTCCAGCCCTGCTGAAGGGACAGCAGCTCCTGCCATCCTTGACCCCTGCCTGGCCCTCTGGGTGCCATGTACAGGGCCAGGCTGTGGTGAGGGCGGCAGAATTCCCAGCCCTGCTGAAATGCAGCAGAGGACCAGAGGCAGCCTACCCTGGACCTGTGTCCTCCTGGAAAGCTGTGTCCTCTCCATCGCTGACCAGTCACCACTGTGGGCTGCTGTGGTGGGTTGCTAACACCAGCCAGGAGGAGGAAAGGCCAGGGAGAGGTGATCTCAGTTTCACCGCTTGCTTGAATGGATGAAACACTGGCTACTTTACCCTGGTGTCTCAGGATAGCCAGAAGTTGGCCTCTGTGGTGGTGAGGAGGCTGGCCAGGTGCTTGACCCCTGCTCTAGTACCCTAGTTCCTGGCTTTCCCTGCCTGCTCCATAGCCTGCCTATTTTCTCCATGGCCACATTTCCCACTGCCTTCCCCACTGAGTACAGGCCTTGTCACCACAGTATGATGCCAGCTGCAGTGGGTTTTATGACAGTCCTCACCCCCCTGCTGTCTCTGCAGCTGTATTCTGAGCCCTAGACTGGGGGTTGATTCTGTCCACCCATGCAGATGCTCAGTTTGCCAGCAGTGCTGATCCCAAAGCTCTTACCTGGTTCCTAGCCCCGTGGTCTAACCTGCCGTGCATGCCCTTCCAGGACCTTGGACTGTGGTCCTCTGAGCCCATTTGTTCTGTAATAGTAGATACTGTGGCAACTCTACTTCTGAAACAGGTGTGTCAGGGAGGAAGGAGCCCGTTCATGCTGGGAGGATGGAAACTTTTTTAAGGAGCTCACAGTGGGCCTGAGGGAGCCCCAGTCTTGTCCCAACCATAGACAGGACAGGTGACATAACCACAACTAAATGAGGGTCACCAATTTCATTTCCCTTTAACACCCACAAGAGTATCTTACCCTAGAGCCAGCCAGTGCTCCCAAGGGGAGGCAGGACTTACAAAGAAGTGAGGCTGTTTGCCCCATCAGGGCACAGGGACAAGGTGTGAGTGGGAACATGGAAGCCAAGCGACTTCCATGGATATGTTTGCGTGTCCTTGTACCAAAGAGGTCGGTCAGTGCCCACCCCAGAGCAATGACGAAATAAGCTCTGGCCGAGGACGGAGGAAACAGACCTCTCCCAACCTCTCTGAGGGTTGCTGACAGACAAGAGACTGATGGCTCCATATATACAAACTTTACACAAAATAAATAAGGAGCTGTGCTCCACCTAGCTGGGATGCCCTGGACCTCACCAGAAGCTGTTTAGTGCCTTAGCCAGAGTCCTCCAGACCCCAGATGTTCTGTGACCGCACCAACACCCCACCCAGGAGTCCGCCATGGTCCCCAGTGCTGCTGGGTCCTCAGAATCCAAGCCCTTGGACCTGAAGTCCCCAGTCCTAGAGACCTCTGAGATGGACTGGGGCCATGTACCCACATCTTCAGCCTGGCCAGAGTAGAGGGCACAGTTGGTCTCTGGGCTCAGTCTGCCCCTGCCCTTTGGTCTTGAACCCAGCAAGTATGGACCCAGTCCTCCAGGCCATGGTCCCAGATGTCAGGGCCGGGTACCCTGCTCCATCTGTTGGTGCTGGCTGCGCACAGCAAAGCGGTTGACGTGCACCGGTATGGGCACCACGATCTTGGGGTTTCTCACAGGCTCCCCAGAGCGGCTGCTCACGTTGCCAGCCTTGATGCGCTTCCACTTGGCCCGTCGGTTCTGAAACCAGATCTTGACTTGCACCTCGCTGAGCTTGAGGGCATGGGCGATCTGGGAGCGCTCGGTCAGGCTCAGGTACTTCTTGCAGTGGAACTCCTTCTCCAGCTCCAGCAGCTGCTCACTGGTAAAGGCCGTGCGGCGCCTGCGGCTCTTCCCCCCGGGCGCTGCCACCCCGGTGGCCACGGGCGTCCCTTCCTCAGCTCCAGTCCCCAGGCTTCCCTTGAGCTTCGGTTTAGATCCCAGAAGAGCCCCAGGGACGCCTGCAGAGCTGTCCAGGAAACTGTCGTCCTCACTGTCGCCGGCGGAGCCCTCTTCCTCCTGCTCACTGCCGGCTGGGTCGCCAGCAGGGGTCTCCAGCTTCTCCTCGTCAGAGCTGTAAACCTTCACCTCAGCTGCAGGGGGGCAAAACCAAGGGACAGCAGGAAGCAGGAGGGGTTGGAGGCGATAGAGCCAGGTGAGGACGGGAAGAGGGGCAGGGGAGACAAAGTGTGGAAGAAAGACATTAACAAGCACAGATCTATTATGGAGGAATGGGGGATTGTGTGTGGGGACCACCTCAGCTTTTCCCCCAACCCTACCTCATTCTCTGCAGCTTCCTGCAAGCCCAGGATCACTACTTGGGGGTCCCCTGTTTGCACGACACCTCCAAACCCAGGTCTGCTACCCCAGGAGGAAGCTGTTTGTCTTTGGGAACCTGCATCTGGCCCAGCTGCCAAAAGCTATTTCAGGGGTTGGGCTCTGACTCCCCACTTTTCCCTTGCTGCTTATTTCCTGATGGGACCTTCAGGGTCCTCTAGTCCTACCCCACACAAGTCTGAATCCAGGAAATTCAAGGGACTGAGGAGTGGGACGTTTCTTCCACAACCTTCAGAATCCTACCCTCCATACCTGCTGCTGGGGGCTGAGCCCAGGGCCGCCTGCACGCTAGGCAAGCACTCTACCGCTGAGCTGCGTCCCTAGCCTTCTTAATTCTTTTGAGACCTTTTGTTTCTTATGCAGTTCAGGCTGACCTTGAACTCACAGTGTGGCCCGTGTTGCCCTCAAACTCAGGTGATCTCTTGCTCGGCCTCCTGAGGGCTGGGATTACAGGTCTTGGGCACTACGCCTACCTCTCCTCCATTCTTAACCAGACCACAGTTTCCCAGCTGCGTGCCACCCCCTAGTCTGCGGTTGGACTTTCCTCCCAGACTCTCAACCTGGGATCCACTCGTAGTCCCAATGCTCGATTTTAAAATGACCTCTTTCCAACTTCCCCTGCCCTGGTTGCCAACCCTAGCAGTGTAGACAGCGGCTTCTCAGGGTTTGGGGCTCAGTGTTAGCCACGGGGACTGGCAGGGACATGGGGGCACGAGAAAGAAGCAGCAGAGGTGTAACAAGGGAAACAAAATGGCAAAAAAGAAATTTGGGCTCATTTAGTCGATGTCTGATTATTTACAATCACAGGCATTTAAACATTTTAATCCATACATAATTCTAAACCTTAATTCATCCACTGGTTTTTATCTTAGGCACAGATATGCTTGAGGAGGCTGCAGAAGGTACATTACAGATGCTTCCAGCATCGGGGTTCACAAACTCCCCTGTTTTCTGCCCAAAGGGAACAACAGGAACTTGAAAGATAGGAAGGAACAGAAGGACAAATTGGGCCATGTAGAGTATGCCTGTCATCCTGACACTCAGGAGGCTGAGGCAGGATGATCCCCACATTCATGGCCAGTCTGGATTAGAGAGCAAGCCTCTGTCCCAAACAATAACAAAGGGGCTAGGGAGTTAGCTTAGCAGCACAGTGCCTGCCTGGCAAGCATTAGGTCATGAGTTCAATCCCTGGTGCCAAAAAAAAACCCAAAACAAAAAGCTGCCTGCAAACAATAACAAAAGCCAAGCATGGTGGCACATGCCTATAATCCCAGCACTCAAGAGGCTGAGGCAGGAGGCAAATTTGCAAATTTGAACCTGCCTGGGTTGCTACGTAAGTGAGTTCAAGGCCAGCCTGCACTACATAGTGGGACCCTGTCTCAAAAACAATCAAACAAACAAAAATTAACCAAGGAGACAAGGCATGAGCTCTGTGATCGTGAACTCCTCCTGCACCAGGTCACAGATATCTTCTTTGGAGGATGGAGTCTCAGCCCCATCCCCTCTCCTTGCAGTCTGCCTCCTCCCTGTTCTCATCCTGAGGGTCTCCTCCTTGGGTTCCCGTGCTGCTGCTCCCATGGTCACTTCCTTTGCTTGCCCTCTTCCACGAGTGCCTGGAGCCTGTGCCGTCAGCAGGTGTCAGCTGTGGGTCCCCAGCTGTCAGCCACCTCTCACCCCTGGCCACGCCTTTCTGTCCCAGAGACTCCCAGGTTCCCTGTCTCACAGTACTGGAAACTACCCACACGGTGTGCCCAGTGTGGTCTTTAACTTCTGAGCCCCCTGCCTCGCTCTCCTGAGTAGAGAGGATCACAGTCGTGGGCCACCACAGCCAGCCAAACCTTGATGTTACCCTTCACCCCTCCCTCTGCCGCTCCACACCCAGGTCCCTCACAGCTTCTCTCCTGGCCTCCTCTCCTCACTGGTTCCCAATTCCTTCTCTTTCCTGTTCTGGACACCACGGTCTCCAAGGGCCCTGCTCAGCTGGTTCCTGGCCCCCTCCAGGTCCTTTCTGTGCAGCCAGGCTGCCCCTTGGCCACCTCGTGGACCGTGACCCCTGAGCTCCAATGCATCAGCTGCTACAAACACTCCACCACTGGATTTGCCTGGCAAACCCTTCTGGCAACCCCTTCCTAGCATTCAAGCACCATGGAGACAGGGTTTGAGATATATTTTATCCACGCCATGTCCTTGGGATCTCCAGTCTCCAAGGAGGACATCTGTGACCTGGGGCAGGAGCAGGCATGACCACAGCAACAAGAAGTTCACGATTACAGAACACACGCCATGTCTCCTTGTTCCTTTTTTCCAAAAAGGGAGGCAAGTTTTATTTTGGCTCACAGTGTGTAGAGGTTTCAGTCTGTAGCTGGCTGCTCCTAGAGTGGGCAGCCTCGCAGAGGGGTGGGACAGAGCCTGTTCTTTTTGCAGCTGCTGCTGTTTTGAGACAGGGTCTCACTATGGAGTGCAGGATGGCCTTGAACTTGCTTATGGAGCCCAGACTGGTCTCAAACTCATGGCGATCTGCACAGCTGGAAATTGTGAATATTTGTCATCCCAGCACTCAAGAGGCTGATGCAGAAGGCTTTCAGTGAGTTCAAGACTAGCCTGAACTACATCAGAAGACCCTGACAACTTCTTTTTTTTTTTATCTTTTTTTCATTTTTATCGGTACCAGGGATCGAACTCATAACCGCCTGCTTGCAAGGCAGGTGCTTATGCCGCTGAGCTAAATCCCCAGCCCCTGACCCTGACAACTTCTGTGTATATACCATCTCCCTCACATTTATTTATTTATTATTTATGGGGATTGAACTCAGGACATTTGCACTGAGCTACACCCTCAGCTTTTTTTAAAAAAACATTTTTTTTTTAAATTTTTGAGCTAGGTTCTTATAATTCACGAAGTTGCCCAGAGTGGGCTCAAACTTGGGGTCTTCCTACCTCAGCCTCCCAAAATGCTAGAATTACAGGCATGGGACACCACACCCAGCAGTCTCTCTCCTTTTCTTTCCATCTTTGTCCCTTCCCTTTCTGAACCCCTTCTGAGGTTCCCCCACCCCTGCCCAGTGCGGTGCTCACAAGACACTACTCGAACACAACTATCCCTCTGTCCCACAGCCCCAGGACACCCACGAGGAAAGTTGGGTCTTAGCCACCTCATCATGCTGAAAGAAATGAAGGACAGTCCCACTGCCACTACTAAAGCCTCTGGCTTTAATTTTTATAACATACCTTGTAGTAAAGAACCACAGAGGGAGCCACACACACACCTGTGAAGCCTCATGCCGACAGCACGATATTTTAAACAGTGCTAAAGAGACAGAACTGGATTCCAGGGCTTGGGGGGTGAAACATTTCCTGCAGCGCAGGCACCCAGGAGGAGGTCCATAAATCTAAGCTGATGATGACTGAGATGGGCTCCCAACGCCTGAGTCTGGCAGAGCCCCCAAGATCCTCATCCATCGCTGTCTGCAGCACATCCAAGATGCTGCCCTCTGTACTACGCCCAGAGCCACAGAGCAGCACAGCCCGTGTCGCTCTGGGCTGAGATTCTTTTCTTTTTTACTGGTACCAGGGATCGAACTCACGACCATGCGCTTGCAAGGCAGGCGCTTATGCCACTGAACTAAATCCCCAGCCCCCTCTTGGGCTGAGATTCTTATCCAGATGTACAGGGAGCGGTGGACGCCCACCACAGCACCATTATGGTCCCCACAGGAGGACTCACATAGCCATCGGGACAGAGACCTGGAGAGCCCCGGCATCCAGGGCTTGGAGGACATTGTGTGAAACCCCCAATGAGGACAGAGCTGGGAGAGGAGGATGGGCTAGGGCAGGCAGAGACAGGACTGGAGCTGGGGTCCAGAGGGCTCTCGAAGGGGCAGAAGAGAGAAAACATGAGCAGGGCACAGTGAAGGGGCTGAAAATTTTCAAGAAGGGATACAGAAAATAGGTGGAGAGGAAAGAAAAGACATTTTTTAAAAATACCTCCATTGGGGCTGGGGATTTAGCTCAGCGGCATAAGTACCTGCCTTGCAAGCAGGCAGTCATGAGTTCAATCCCCAGGACCGATTTAAAAAAAAAAAAAAAAACCTCCATAGCCAGGTGTGTTGGTGTCTGCCTATAATCCTAGCACTTAGGAGGCTGAGGCAGGAGGATCCTGCATGTTTGAAGCTAGCCTGGGTGACATGAGGAACCCCACCACCATCATCCCTACATGGATGCAGTTGGAGCCAAGCCAGGCATTTCCGGCCAGTCAGTGGCTCTTTGCTGGCCCAGCAAGGGAGCACCAAAGACTCAAAGCTGAGACAGGGAAGGGGACAGTGGAGAGGGGACAGGAGACAGGACATCCCACCACCAGGAAGGGAGAATGAGCACAGGCCCTGCTGCCTGCTGTGTCCCCTGACTTAGCAGGGAGCAAACAAACTATTTTCTCCGAGCTCATTCACAGTATCCATGCACAAATAATGACACAAAACTGTCTTTAGAATTTTGTCATCAACTAGAAATTGACAGAAATAGCAACTTTTTAATACAACTTCTATTTGCAAAATCTGCTTTAGAGGAATTGGACTCGGTGTTGCTGTTGGCTGATAACAAAAATATGGACAGACAAAAGACTGAGCGTTTTACAGGAGAGTACTGATTCTAGTGAGAACGCTTTTGGCAAAAGGAAAATGTTTAACTTGAAAACGATTTGGCTGAGCCAGCCAGCCGGAAAGGTCCCACCCTAAATGTGTGGGGCTATTGTTCCTGGTAC